TGAGCTCTGCATATTACCGAGCACTGTCAAATCTTTGTTACAGGTGGTAGCATGTTACCGGCATTTGGCTGCATGTGTTGGTGGCTGCACAGACAGTTTGCAGCTGCGGGATGAGCTGAGACAAACGCGAGAAAAGGCCCTGAATTTGGCCGAGGCCATCCGTCTGCATCTGACCTCACATCTGCGGGACAAGAGCCTGCCCGAGGACCAGCGCAAGGAGATGGAGCTCCTCTGGGTGGCCTTCTCCTCCAGTCTAGAACTGCTCCATGTTGACATGTGCAAGGTTTTCAGCATGGGTGACAACTTCTCCCTAGCCAACACTGCTTCCTTGGTGCAGACTGGCCTACAAGGTAAATGCAAGCCTTTCACATACTGCTGCTACTAGATGCAAGCAGTGTCGTCAACTGAAATCGAACTTTAAGCAAAACCAAGAAAACCGCAAAATAACTGCACTACTTTAGTCTTCAGAGGTTGTTTTAGAGTGAATGCAGAGGAAACTCTATTATTGTATCTTGTAAGACTCAATGACTACACATGGAGGGGAAAACTTTTTGGATTGTTATGTAAAGTATTTAGCTGTTTTTCATACTCTGCAGATAATATTTTATCAGAATTAACATGCTCAAATCTGCCAGTGTGCTAACATTTTAGAGTATCTCGTGTGAATGTCCTGTGGCATCAGTAAAGGTGAAATATTTGGACTCTAGCCCTGCATTTTCTCAGTTTACTATTTTTTTTTTATTTTTTTGTTATCATTAATGGATATAAGTAAAGTGTGTGGAGCTGTGCTTGAGTTGGTCCATCACACTGATACACAATGTTTTTCCCAACTTTTAAATGGACTGGTTCAGGTATTAATGGCCCCCAGATGTTGGATGCTGCTGATTTATTTATTCCTCTGTAGTGCCACTGTGACAATATTACATTAGAATTTTTAAGCAATGAGGATTGCCATGAGATTTTGTAAAAATAGTCACATTTCGTTTCCCCACATGATGAAGTGGAAAGCTTCTGCCACATTTTACAAATCCATTGTTGAGTTGTAAAAGCCAAAAGAAAATGGAAAGCTAAAATTTGTTTCTGGTAATGCAGGAGGAGGCAGTGAGGTAGCAGCTCGAGCACTCAGTTTGGCAGACTTGAACCAGGAGCCTCCAACCCTTCCTGCTGGTCTTGAGAGCCAGGAACGGAGCACCATGGAGCAGGAAATCAGCCAAATCGACCACATGATTGATGACATGGAGAAAAAAGTAAATGTGTTGCGCTGGATGGTGGAGCCCAGGGGGCCACAATACGCAGACCCGCTCAGCAGCACCGAGAGCGCCTCCCTGGCTCTGCTCAGCGTTGACGAGGAGCAGCCTGGACACGAGCCTCGATGCCAGCGCAGTTTGATCTTTGTGTTCTTATTGCTGTTTGCAGTTGTTTTGGTGGCAGCCACGTTATCTGTCTGTCTTGTCCTTTTCTCATGAACAAAACCTTAATTTTTATTTTATTTTATTTTTTTGGTGCAACCTCAAATGCTCTCTAATACTGTAACACTGGCAAGCTTTGCAGGTACAGTAGTGTTCTTTTAACTATATTCTTTGCAATGATGACAAGGTGACTTTTATTGTAAACCTTTATTAGTGCATTCTACAAATACTGAAATTAATCTGGATGCGAACTTGTTTGCCATGTCTTGCAGTGAATCCAAGGCTGCCATATGCATTAAACAAATAAAGTACATGACTGCCTGTAATACAATAAAATTGTTTTATTTTACTAACAACTGTTTGAAAAGAAAATGGAGCCAACATTGTATTTTTTTTTCCTCACGACCAGCTGATGAACAAAAAAAGCAACAAACCACCTTTTTTTTTTCTTTTTTTTCTAAGCAGCCAGAAAGGCACTTCCTATTCCTTATTGCAACTGAGAAGACATAGGTGCAAATGCTTCTTAATATAGGTGATCATGTATTTTCTATATAAAGTGATGTAGAGAACTGATGATGTTTAGTACAGTTGTACAATATAAAAGTATCAACTTTGATATAAAACTGTCTTCTTGGGGTTTTGTGTTTTTGTTCTGTAAATTATTACCTCAAAGCACAACTTTGGATCCAAAATCCTCTCAAGTCTTGCATAAGTTACTGCAGACTGACAAGTCCCTAAAAGATGGCTGCAATACAGTCTCACTCCTCTTAGGTTGGTTCAAAGCTATGACAAAACCGCTCAGCCACTGGAAATTATTTTCATATTCATGAAAGAAAAGTGTATAGACTACAGTATAGATAGGAGCAGATTCTCAGTCCAGTAAATCAAATTTGAAAGGTTGAAATATGAATCATCAAATATACAGTTTCCTTTCTTAAATAGTACAATAGCTTTATATTCATTCTGATGTATTAGTACTTATTAATTTATATTTTTCGGGTACTATACTGGTACTAATTGTACAGAAAATACCCATTATGACTTAGCACCTAATCAATTATGACACGGTGTTTTATTTTGAAAGGCGTGACCGGTAGTTTGACGATTTTTTCTTTTTTTAATTGACAAGTTTGACGATTCTTTGTCAGTTTCCGGTTGTTCAGTCTGACGTCACTAGCCGTGTCTGGACCTAAACTCCGCTGCAGGTCCATATATCAAACGATCACTATGGCATTACTGAGAGTTGAAAAACTGTCTAAAGTCTTTCATCTTTAATAAAATGATCAGCGTTCTGCTCTACCAGGTGTAACAATTGAGTTTAACATCCAGGCATCCA